GCCATTTTAACAATATGGGAGGCGGGGGGTATCATTTAGTGAGCTCATTGCTCACAGTAACTCTAGTTTGTCAACTGCATACTTTCTGTTTTCGTTTTATATCAAATTCATTGAAAATGAACTTGTTACAGATTGTTCATCGGCACTGGGTTAATGTGATTGGTCCAGAAATAAATAAACAATCAAGATTAATCAGACATCACTGCAGTCAGCTCTTAGTATGTCGTATGAAATTTGTCAGGGGTTCCTCGACAAGGTACTGACTCAGAACACTAAGTTGTGAGGATGACGGTAGAAGCAGATACTGCGTCTTTTTTATACGTACACATACAAGCATAGCACTGGATGCATATAATTTTTTTTCATATCACACTGTGCGACAAATCGTATAACTCTTCTAACGTATATTGCAAACTATTGTATTATGTTAGCAATATTTCTTCGCACGCAAAGCATGTGGATCAATTGTAGATTTAAGAAACGAAATTCTTCTGAAATTCAGTTTCCTCGACATACAGAGGTGAGCAGCATTAAACTTAAGCGCCCGTCACACGGACTCACACCAGTTTTATCACCATATTCTTCAAAATTGAGACCGAATTATTTTATTGGTTTACATTCGGAGGGAAGTTGCTTCATGGATCTTCATGGACCATCTTTGCAAGCCAAGGGTTTCTGATATACGATACTCTCCTCATAGTAGCGTATCAGAAACCCTTGGCGACGATGTTCATGGACGCGCTCGAACTAGATTGTTGGAAGTTTTATGATAGAATGTTTAAATTTTCCCGGTCTTAGGAGTGACAACGAATATGGGCATTATTAATAAGGATTAACAGCAATGTTGTACTACGACTGTAATTGTCGTTCTTTGATCTTATTAGTGACCTGTCATAATATTAATGTGACATGGTTAATTACCAGTTAGCAATGTGACCTTGTAGTGAAGCGATAAGGTTCGTCTGCCTGTTGGATAATGAACAAAACTGACCACACCTTGTCCCTAAAAGCTCCAAATCTCGTCTTCTGAATTTTTCAAAATGTAAAAAAAAATTGTCACAAAGTTCCTAAGAAGTTTAATACGTTTTGAGCACAGTATGATGCTGTCGTCCTTAAGGTACATCGATACTCTGGTAAGAGAGATACACATGTTAATCTTAATGACACAAATATCTCTTATTCCTTTATAAATTTGCCAAGTTGAAGTATCTTTTTGTCCAATTTTGTCCCGCAAGCTATATGCTTAAGTTGTTTATATTCTACTTATAAAATACATTTCTTTTGGAAAATCATTAAGGTTCAAGCAACATTTTATATGAGTGAGCAGAGGGTTTATGAACCGTAAAATGTTCTTACTTAGTCCAAATTCGTCTGCATTATTAGTGCATATGAAAATAATTTAATTTTAGTTGTAACACGTCATTTGATTGGATAAAAGATTTATTTTATATTGTATAACATAAGTTGCCTACGTCACAATGAGTTACGTCAAAAACGTATCACTCCGCTTGACGTTAATTTTTTTTAAATATGCTCAATTTGAAGCCATTTTTAGATGTAAAATTGTCTTATTGTCTTCACTGAAATTTTAAAAGGAATGTTCAAGCTTATTTTAACCAATAAAGCGTAAATCCCCCCAAATTATGTTATATTGTATAACATAGGTTAAAATAAGTTTCATCCCTTAATTGAATACATGTATATGGAAAGATCTCGAGTTTGTTAATGGACTCGTGAAACTAACAAAGCGCAATGCTTTGTTGCTTCAAAATTTTGCCGCTTGACAATTTTAAATCTCTATGGTCCATTAATGTGAAGCAATACATGGATATTATTGTCTAAGTCTGTTTACCTTAATTATGTTCAAGTTCAAATGATGAAAAAAATATCCCTTTCATTTATCATATGTCCTGTGTTTACCCGGTAAGTTGAAATTAAGGGAAAAAATACTTTAAGGACTACCTTTACGAAATTATATACGACTTTAGGTACATGTTAAACGGGAAAGTTTATTTACGGAGAGATTTGAGTTATGGATCTGTTTGCGTCATATTATGCTGAAAACATTATTCAGTAGAGTAAACTGGTTGACCGCTACTATTCTCTTGTGTCCCAATTCTGTCAAAATAACCAGCTTACCACAGCTCCTTGCATGCACTCTTTAAATCTCATTTGTACATCTGTAGCGAAACATTTACTACGCATGTGCGATGTCATTAGTCATATTGGTTTTTGCCGTGAAATTTCTAAACAGTATAAATTTTTAAACCGCCCAATTTCTTTTTACCAGGAACAAATGCAATCTAAAGTGTATAATTTTCGTAAAATCTTTTTTTTTTACTGTAAATGAATGATGTGGTTACTTAATAACTTATTATTTTCTGAAGTCAAAAGCTGGGATCATGAAGCTTTAAAGTACGGAATTTTGAAAACGAATTTGGTTTTGATGAGGTATTTCATCATTCACATCAGTTGAGATCGGTTGCAGTCGGAGGCATTTTGCAAATGTTACAATTTCACACAAAACTTTACTTTTAATACCGAAGAACAAAAAACTATACATATTGCATGATATTGGACTTTTCATTTAGAAAAAAAGTTTGGTATTTCGTGAAAAATCATTTTGGGACCTTCCAAACAGAAATCTTCAGAAGTCGGCAAACTACGACGGCGTATTAGTGCCATTTAAACAATGTAGAAATTTTTTTTAAATCGTTTGTACGATTTAATAAATCGTTTGTACGATTTAGTAAATTTTGCTAAATGTATAAATGTGTAATAATTCGTTTGTACAAAAAAAGATTTAATAAATCGTTTGTACAATTTTAAATCGTTTGTACAATTTAATAAATCATTTGTACAATTTGTTTGTTAAATCGTTTGTACAATTTATTAAATCGTTTGTACGATTTAATAAATCGTTTGTACGATTTAGTAAATCGTTTGTACAATTTAGTAAATCGTTTGTACAATTTGTTTGTTAAATCGTTTGTACAATTTATTAAATCGTTTGTACGATTTAATAACTTTTTACGATTTAGTAAATCGTTTGTACAATTTAATAAATCGTTTGTACGATTTATTAAATTGTACAAACGATTTACTAAATTGTACAAACGATTTATTAAATCGTACAAACGATTTAAAAAAAAATTCTACATTGTTAAAATGCCACTAATACGCCGTCGTAGCAAACCGCTTTTCAAATCAAGCAAAAAAAAAAAAAAAGAAAAAAAGAAAAAAAAAATCACATGTAATTTGAAATTAGTGCTAAATTATAAGTGTGCAATTTCTTTAAAAAAAAGGATTTTAAATCACATTAAATTATCATTTAAATCAGCATAAAGTTAAATTGTTATAACTTTTTTTTTATAGTATCTGTAATCTAGAGTACAAAAAACAAGTGTAACGAAACAACAAGGGTTTTCTTTGTGTCACTTATAGTGTCTGCTTTTGAACAATTGTTGCCTTTTTATAAAGCATTTTCAGCTTAAAAACTACATAATATATATAACGGACGTGCGTAGTTTTTAACAGATAATGATATTGAAAATCAAAAAAAAAAAAAAAAAAATTGCGTCCATTGTAAACCAAACTTCAATGCTTTATTGATATGTTTAGTTGCATAGTGAATAGTTTTGACCTGTATTCAAATATAATTGAGTTAATTCTAAATTAAATTGTTAATTAAGACCGTTTGTACTTTCCTTTGAGAATTCCATGTAGTGTACACACCTCTTGTAGAGTAGAATTTCCTCCATAGGGGTATTTCCCCTGAAAATTGTACTCCAGAGGAAGATTTCTCACGGTGAAAAAATTGTTTCTTTCCACAGAGGTGAATGCTGGCATTAAACAATAGGGAAGTGAAGAACTGGCTCTGTAAGGGGGTTACTCTAGAGTAGAACCCCCCTTCTCAGAAAGCTGGTTTACCGTGGGGACACTCCTACTCAAGAGTTGGTTTTTGGGAGGAAATCTTATCCATAAGTCCATGCACTCTCATGCATGGGGAAAGTTCTTTCGATAGTGAAGATCCCTCTTTTCAATACCGTTTTCTGCACTTTTTTGGTGATGAAATGTGTTTTTTCAAATTAATTCAAATATAAAAATATATCTGAATATATCATTTGTACAACTGATATACAAAAATGTTATATTAAATAGATTAATTAAACAGCAGTAAGTAGCCAAATTAGTATTTCGTAGCTCAGAAAAGTGCGATAGGTGTCCTAGACGCAGAACAGAATGGAATAACGTCGGAACAAATGAAGAGATAAATCATATAAGATCACATATCGTGATCTTTTTTTATGTGCATGTCAATGATGATAATAAGTTTTGTTTTATGTATGTTTTGTAGACTATGGATGAAAGCCGAATGCTTAATATTATCAATAGATTGCAGCGTGTCAGTTTGATTTTAAAGGTAAAGATAAGAAGACAAAGTATGTGCTTTTTATAATCATCTATAAATTACTTGTATCGTATTTACTGTTTGTCTGTGATGTATCCTTAACTTATTTGTCCGTGACGTAAACGTATTTTCTATTCTTTATTTTAGTTGTTAGTCGACCAGTTTATTATATTGGAAACAATGACGCCACTAGATTTCCTAGAGTTCAGGTGTGTAAGGTCATAGTTATATAAATATAAAACGTGTAAACGTGATAAGCATTAGCAAAGATAAAAATATATTGTCATTTGGTAGAAAATTTATTAAGGAATTTTTGAAATGCTTTACTAAAGCTCCAGATTTGGATTATTGTTACAGACAGCATTTAGCTACAGCATCTGGATTCCAGAGCCTTCAATTCCGACTACTAGAAAACAAACTTGGGGTTAAGCAGGTCAGTGAGAGATAACAAAACCATGCATATCAAACTGCACACCAAACATCGGATGGATCACTTTCTATTTTATCAAAATTCAAAAATGATTAACTACAAGGTTTGACCCCCTTTTCCTAAATGGATGTATAACTTTAAAAAAAAAACAACATTGCTTTTGATTTGCAGGAAAATCGTATTAAATACAACCAGCAACATTACATGAAGGTGTTCAATGATGAAGAATCCATAAAAATGTTGACGGATTCCGTGGAACAACCGTCACTGTTAGCTGTAGTAGAGGTACGATTTAGCCATTTGTCAGAGATATACGTATATATCAGTAAATTAACCAATATATTATATACCTGTGACGTACTGATCAATATTACCCTGCTAATCGTTCTATAATTGATTTTCCAGAGGTGGTTGGAGAGAACCCCTGGCCTACAGCGTCACGACTTCTGTTTCTGGCGAGCCTTTGAAACATCCGTCTGTCGATGGCTGGATGAAACGATTTATCAGCCTTACATAGTTAGTAGAGCCCATACCTCTTTATTATCGCCCATATCTAGTAAAGTATTGCTCATACATAATAAGAATCACCCATAAATATGTAAAGTAACAATACGTATCGCCCATACCTAGTAATTATTGTCCTGTACCTAGTAAGTATCACCCAGAAATAAGGTTAGTAAATGATACCCCTACATAGTACTTATCATCAATATATACTATGTATCCCCCATGCATAAATCCTACACATACATAGAAAGTATTGCCCATTCATAGTAAATATCACCCATTCATAGTAAGTATCGCTCATAAATATTAAGCATCGCCCATTCTAGCATCTCCAGGCCAAGCCTTTAGCTGCATGGATTGACATTTATCAATTGTCTTTAAATCTTTGTTTAGAAATGTGTACTTATTGTTTAAAATTATTTATTGTCGTTACATTTTTTATCATATTTTTTCCAACAGGTAGAAACAGATCCAAAGATCAAGGAAACTCTAATGGCAGAATATCAGAAACAGAAGGTATTGATGGCCTAGACATCAGCTACATCAAGAAATGCAGCTTCTGCTAAACAATTATACAGTTGTTATACTCGTTTCACAATAAATTGTTATGATAATGCATTGACTTTTATATCAATATTTTAACTATAGGACTCCTTTGATACAATCCTGGACCCTATCAAATACAACACTTTTGTAGAGCGGGGTAAGTTTTGTCTAGTTTATGTTATATCTCACTTCTATAATGTACTTTTTATGTTAGTATATAAATGAATTTAAACCAATGAAAAAATTAAAAAAAAAAGACATTAACTTGATTCTGTTGACTGTTGTGATCATTTTCTTCCCCTTATTACTTCATTTCTTTATCTTGACTTTTCTTTATGTATTTTTTTTGAAACCTTTTTGCTTGGTGAAGAAACCATAGATAAGTTTTCCCATGAGTACTAAACTTCATTAGATATTCATGCTGAGTACAAGCACCCTTGCCACCTCTCTGGTTATAAAACTTTCCCCCGAGTTTACCCCCAAAGCGTGACACAGCTTTATTTGAATAAAGATTAAAGACAGGTTACCTTAACAATTTCCATGGAATGAATAGTTTACTGAGAAAGATAAACCCTTAAAATAGAGCCAGCATTATGAAAAGAATTTAAAGTACATGTATCCATGAAATCATGTACTGAAAGTTTTTTTTTTATCAAGCTTCGGTGTGTTAATTGAATTTTATTTATAAAAGGATTACCATGTGAACGTTTTATTCTGACCCCAGCTGAAGTTCACAGAGCGCAGTAAACAAAATTCTTGTAAAATTTGGAACGTAAATGAAGCTTTGCATTTTAAAATAAATCGTTATAAATAAATTCATAATGATACGTAACTGAACATTTAAAACAATATGCTTGTGTGATTTTTGAATGTTATTTGCTAAGTTGGTATGTTTTGCATTTACTTTTGAATAACCTTTATTTCTATGCAATTTTTGGCTTTAATAAATCAGAATTAATTTTTTACAAATTTTTTCAATCCTAATTACATTTAATACTGTCTTATTGTTTACAGAGACGAACAATGTTAAAAGATTGCATATATTAAATTTCTACAAAAACTATACAAATTCTGAAGGGATCGGTTTTTTTTAAATTGAAAGCAAGTTTATGAAAAAAAGATCGATCGTTTTACACGACTGATGTACATGCAATTTATACTTTCAAAGCTTTCATTGTTAGATTTCATTCTTGATTATATAACTTGCATGAAAAGGATCAAGACAGAAATAGTATTGAACATTAAATAAAAGAGTATTTAATAATTATGTTGTTTTGTTGTAAAGTTAGTATTCCTTTTTCCTATGTAGGTGAACGAAGGTTGAGTCATAAAGCCTTTCAAGGCGCCCTCTTAATTTCACTATACAGAGACGAGCCTCGATTTCACCAACCATACCAACTTCTGACCCTTCTGATGGACATCGACTCTTTGATGACGAAATGGAGATGTAAGAATTATAAATAGTATTGATTTATACAGAGTTGGATGATTTATATTATACAGAAGCCGGTTATGCTAGTTAGAAAAATATTTTAACTGGCGGCCACCACATAATTATTTGGTGGCCGCTAGATAAATAGATGTGGCTGCTGCCAAAAGGTTAACTTATTATAAACTAAAACAAATAATTATCTAGCCGCCAGATAAAATATTTTTCTCTCTGGCACCTACCGGCTTCCGTAACTTCACTTCTCATACTGTCAATCGCATCATCTCGGGTCTTTCCGTCAGAGGTCGGAAAAACAACGTTTTCCGCTAGTCGGAAAGTTGCGATTGTTCATACTGTAATACCAATCGCATCATCTCGGGTCTTTCCGTCAGAGGTCGGAAAAACAACCTCGAATGTATTAACATCACCGGATGTTAAAAATTTATACATTTCCTGCGTATTCAAATATAAGATAGAGAGTTAGAAGTCCCTTCTATAGTATATTTTAGGTAATATCATTACATTGAATAAAGTTAAACTCCATATTCCACAGATAAAAGGTCTCCGTGCATTTATTTCAAAGATCGTGAAAAGGGAGGGTTATCATGGCGTCTACCATATACATTCGAGGTCGTTTTTCCGCTTGTCGGAAAGGCCCGAGAAGTTGCGATTGACTGAAATACAGCCCAATGTTTTGTACATTGAATTGTTATATCATGGTATTTATTAGATAACCACGTGATGATGGTACAGCGCATGATCGGAAGTAAGGTCGGGACTGGCGGTTCTTCTGGATATCATTATCTGAGGTCAACTGTCAGGTATGATATCTTATCTTTGTATTAGACTTCATATCCGTATTTGAATGCCATGAAAATATAGTGCTTTCTTCGGAATCTTTCCTCATGTTATAAGCAAAAATACCGTAGTGTATAGATCATGGCGTGTATTAAATCAATTGATACATGTACAATAAGCAGTATTACATCTAATAAATAAAAATAACTCGCTGCTGTAATTGCTATGTAAAGTTCTAGATTCCCCCCCCCCCCCAACCCAACCCGCAAGTAGTGGTGTCTAAAATATGAGTACAAGTATGCAGTATTTTTGGAAGGACAAACAAAAACGTGTTATAGTTTATGGTTAGACTCTAAATATAAAAAAAAATATTCTAACATTTTCAGTGACCGTTACAAAGTATTCCTGGACCTCTTTAATCTCTCCACGTACGTGATTCCACGAGAGTACATTCCTCCCCTGACCATGTCAATGAAGCGAACATTAAGCACTATATCTACTGAGGTAGAGAGTGGGATCGAGGACCAGTCAAGCAGCTTAGAAAGCAGTGACCAATCAAATGAGGACACCTCTCAAGTCATGTTCACTATGTAGTTGTGACGTCATAATCAACAAGAACTCACCGCATTGCATATTACCAATGGAAAATTTAAGTTTTTTTTGTGTGTGTGTCTGTGATAATATGTATGGTGAATGTTGGCATTACCTATAATGGAAAAAAATTATCAAAATGTAAACAATCAATACCAATTATATACTCTGTGAATGCCGGCACATTTTTCTGTTGCCAAAATTTGATAATCCACCAGTTGTGATAATCATCCATGCGGGTTAGCTAGATTTAGTCCAACCGTCAGACTACTGGAAATGCAGAAAAAGAAACGTCATTTCCGGTCCTGTGTTTGTGTATCTTTATAGTGCAATTATAAAGTTAGTGTAGAGTGTTTAGACTCTTGTCTCATTGAGATGCTGAGGAATTAAATAAAAAATGGAAGACTGTTTTGTGCCTATGGACACATGAACATTAAATGTCTTTGAATCACATGTATTAAGGTTTTGGAATCATATATGAGAATTCCTTTACAGTTACAGTTGGTACTGGAGGAAAAAAAAACTTCGAACTTATTATCATTGTTGTTTTGCTGTTATTACCCATTTGCAGTTGATTCGAAATTTATTTGATTAATTTAGATATTATATTTTTATCAAACTTTTATATTCCTAAGCAAATCCTTGTTAAAGCATGATTTCACTTTTGTCCCGTATCTTAAAGTATATATATTGACAATCCTTATCGTAACGTAACAGTATAGCATGTAATATGAATCACACTATAATCGCATGTTTTAAAATGTAAAACACGAAAAGAAGTATATGTCGTATTTTATAAAAAAAATGTGCAACAATATAATATTTTTAGCATATTCATCTAAAGACAAAAAAAAAAAAAAGTAAAAAAAAAATGAACAGAGAAATATCGGTCAACTCGGATATATTTAATTTTAATATGAGATTAAATTACAGTTAAAATTCGGATTTTTGTTCAAATGTACATGTCACATGTTCTGCATATGACAAGAAATGTTAAATGCCAGTATTATGCCACTAATAAACAATTTTGGTCATTTTCTTTGAATTTCTTTTTATTTTATTTTAACTTATGAATTATAATTGAGTACATATGTTAAACATTAGAGGTGCGAATTAATCAGGGTGCATTTGTATATTATTTTGTTTTAGTTTGTAAATAATCTATTTTTGAGGTTAATATAAAGAAAACAAAAATGTACGTTGGAACTTTAGGCGATTTACACAACAGCCACACACAGTTAATATCCTATGAAGATATATTATTTGAGTGAAAGGAATTGCACCCCTTAATTTGAAAATTTCTACAATTTGTGTTGTCCGTTATCCTCAGGAAACCTTCCACTGGTCAGTATAGTACAAATGTAAGTAGGCACTAATGAAGTAAATATAGCTGAAGAGTAAAATTGAACCACTACCAGTTATTTAGAACTAAACAGTCGATACAGCATGTACATGAACATGTAATTTGAAAGTACTTGACATTAACATTGGGAGACACTGTAAGTATATTGTTACGTAATTCCACTGTGCACGCTATCCACTCAAAGCACACTATATTTACTGTATTGACTAAAATTTGATGAACAGTCGGACAATTGTTAACACAGTGCATACATAACCTTTTGTATAGTTTATTTCAATACATTTTTACAAGTGAACATGCATATAATCACGGACCTGAGAAAGATCGAGAGAGAGAGAGAGAGAGATCACGGGTCATTTATTTATTAAATCATACTTGTACAGTTTATAAATGAAATAAACGGAGATAACAAACAGCATCCAAGCCCAAAAGTCCAAGTTCATAAAACAATGCAGAATAGGAGCAGAACAACCATGGACCTTCAAAACATCAGACGTAAGATCAGATGCTATGGAAGACTAAGCATCCCCTGCCGATCGGTCACACCCGCCGTGTGCTCCTTGTCATGATCGGGAATTAACGAAAAAATCAATTCAGTATGTAATGAAACATAAGGAGATAACGAACAGTATTCAAAATCAAAAGTCATGCCATGGAGGAGTGAGCATCTCCTGCCGACCTGTCACACCCACCGTGTGCTCCTTGTCATGATCGGAAAATAATGGCAAAATCCGTCGTCAATTCAGTGTATAAATAATGGACTAACAATAAGTATGAAAAACGTCGACCCAACAATCTTATTATGTTAGCCCTTTTACTACACTCCCTTCCAATTTTCTTTTTCGAAAAACCCCGAGACACCCTGTGTGAGATAATATTTAATTTAGATCTATACAGAATGTTTGCTGAGATGATGGTGTGTCACCAAGATGCTAAGCGTATACAATGTATAGAAGCAGATACGTAAGTTCTAAAGAAGACATGCCGTTGTTAGTTCTAAAGGAGTTTTATAAACTAGAAAAATGTAGCCCGAGTATGCCAGATAAGAAGGTCCAAATATACATACCTCATAGGGAATGTGCTTGAAGCGTAATTGTGAAATATACAATTTTAAAAAGTAAGCTAAAGTTGGAATTTTTAACTTCAAATTAATTTTTCCAAATTTTAACTTGGTAGTTCTAACATTAATCTTGTTTTTTTTTCAACTTCAAGTTGTCTTTTCGAAGTGTAAGCTTGGCTTCCCCAGCTATTTGTACCTTATACGTATCACTTGAATTATACTTTAGAATTTATTGTACTTATGTAACATCAAGGATGCATCAACTGATAATTATACATTTTTGGATTGATTTGAAAATGTCACAAATAATCAGTCAAGTTTTCTTTTATACTAAGATATGCTACGTTGTGTCGCTTTCTAAGTAATTTATACAAAATTTTGTACATACATGTATTTATGAGATGTGATAAATTCCTACAAACTTCTAACATTGAACCTGGAAAATGTTATTATTATTATTATATTTTTAAATATAAATCCACGAGAATTATTGCTGATATCTGAAAGAAGTCTGATCGTGTTATTTTCCTCAGGCCATTATTTACATACTGAATTTTTCGTAATTTCCCGATCATGACAAAGAGCACAAGGCGGATGTGACCGATCGGCAGGGGAGATGTTCCCTCCTCCATAGCACCTGATCCAACCTCCGATATTTTGGAGGTCCGTGTTTGCTCTGCTCCTATTTTGTATTGTACTGTGGACTTTTCAGCTTGCATACTGTACGTTTTCTCCATATATTTCATTTCACCTTAAAGTAATTAACAAGTGTGGTAAAGTTAAAAATTGAGGTAAAGTTAAAATATAATTGACACAGTTTAATTGCTGAAAAATTCTTTAATAAGGTTGATTATGTTATTTGATAAAGAAAAAAAAACGTAAGGAAATATTTTTGAAAACCCCAGATTCAAATTGGGAAAACCAAAGATTGCAAGTTGGAAAATCTAATATTAAAGTTAGCAACACCAACTTTAAAGTTGGTTAATTACAACTTTTTAATTGTTTTCTTCCCAACTGAGTACACCTTTCGGAAGACAACGAGAAGAATACTTGGTAAAGAAACTAGATATGGGTCTATGAAAAGTGAGCACCCCCTGTTTACACCTGCAATGTGCCCATTATCATGATCGGCCAAACGGACAATAATCTAGACAATTCAGTATCTTTGTAATGATCTATAACACTATGTAAGAAAATCGTCAGTCATTTAGTATTTAACCTAATAATACATTGTATTTACTGACAAAGTCGTTTTATTAGCCGTAGAATTTACGAAACTTGATTCAAATATGCTACAGCATGCTCTATACGTACGAACAGATTCTAAAACGTGGCAAGCTATTGACAAACTTATTGACAAGGATACCAAAATATCGTTAAAAGTAAACGTTTTACAATTTCAATGCTCAATACCTTTTCGGCAAATGCAATCTTGGTCGAACACTATGTTTTTCAAACAAAAGTGTTATAAAACCATCATTCACACACTAAATAGTCTACGGATTTTTTTGAATGCCCATTTATATATGATAAGGAGCACACGGCTGGTATGACCGGTCGACAAGGGGACGATTCCTCCTTTATGGCACCTGATTCCACCTCTGAAGTTCTTAGAGGACTATATTTGCTGCATGAACTCCCGATTTGTAAAGTTTCAATGGACCTAATTGCTGTTAGCCAAAAATATTTCACCTTGACATACATCTTTTGCGATTGTGCCTCTGGGACTTTTGTTTAAAAATCGGTATCTCGTAATGGTATAACACAGTTTAAGTCTTAAATTCTAGAGGAGCAGAATAAGTAATTTTAACTGACTCCTAGACCAAGGAATTGAGCTTATATAAATTATGTTGCATTATGGATGATATGTAAAATGATAGTAGACCTAGATTTGTATAATAATATATGGTGCCTATTATAGCTTGAGTCTCTCATACGGTATGCATTTTAAGTAGGGATGTGTACTTAGCATATATGAAGGAATCCAAACAAAAGGTGTGACTACACATCAAAAATCATTCTATATAAAAACTGTTACCCCCCCCCCCCCCCAAAAAAAAAGACATAAAAACAACAACAACAAAAACAAACAAAAATACAATAAAAAAGTAAATTAAAAGATGCTTTACGTTCGAAAGGTATGTTGATAAAAATTGTACACTCTGTATTGCACTGCAAAATTCAAATCAAACCCAAATGTATTTATTTTATTGTAATGCAAGCTATTTCATAACAAACTGATGAAACAGTGATATCAAGAGACTCGTGTAAAGAATCATTTTTCAAATTTGTCGGCGAATACAATTTATTATTTAGTCAAATACCGATTGATGATTTTCATACTCATTAATAGTCCATTATTTGAATACTGAATGATCTACGATCATTATTTTCTGTTTTTTCCGATCATGACAAGGAGCACATGGTGAATGTGAACGGTCTGCAAGGTATGCACACCCCTCCATGGCACCTGATCCCACCTCTGATTTTTTAGGTCCATGTTTGCTCTGCTCCCTACTTGTTTTGTTTGAAAAAAACTTTGAGCCAGTATACTTTTCGATATCTATACATATTTCACCAAGAAAGTAAGGATATTTCAACTAAAAGGCAGACAAAAAATGAGAACACTGAAATTCTGAGTCATTAAAACGGCCGAATAACTGCCATTCTAAACTGACAGAAAATAGAAAATGCGGATGGAAAACTGCAATCATTGATCACCAATACACAAGTTTAAAGTTCAAATTCTAAGCATCATTTCTAAAATCACGAGGGTCTGACAAAAATGAAATATATCGAGATAACAAACAGTATTCAAGCTCAAAAGTCCGTCAAACAATACAAAATAGGAGCAGAGCAAACACGGACCTCCGAGACCTCAGAGTTGGGATCAGGTGCCATGGAGGAAAAAGCGTTCCCTACCGACCGGTCACACCCGCCGTGTGCTCCTTACCATGATCGGAAAAATAGAGAAAATTTCAATTCAGTGTGTAAATAAAGGACTAACAATTGGTAACTATGAAAAACGTCAGTCATCATTTGACTCAAAGAAAAATATTTGCTGACAAGGTCATTGTATCGACCATAAAACTTACGAAAGGATGACTTTAAACGAGACTGTTGAGATCCTTGTTTCATCAACGTGTTTGTGAATAATCTATGTTAAATTATTTAGAAATTGTACATATTTAGAGCATGCTCTTGCGTATCGAATCAACAGAGAGATATAAACTCCGTATGCAGGTGATGAAGGTATATTGCTGCATAAGTAAGGGAAGTTGACGATTGAAAAGTTAAAGTCATCACGTTTATAATTGAACTTGGTTTTCAGATTACCATTAACGTCTTTTTCAATTAAAAAAATATGAAACAGATGTGTCAGACTCTGTGGTATCTTTAATCTCAAGCTCGGCGGGATATATCGAATCGACATGAGAACTGAAATAACTATTGTTAATTGACAATACGTCGTCGATATATTGAAAAGTCGAGTTGAATCGTCATGAAGTTTATTCTTCTTTTCACGTATTGGATTTAAGACAAATTCTGCTTCATATAAACAAAATTAGGTCTGCAAATAACAGGACACAATTTGTACC